TCTCTCTCTCTCTCTCTCTCTCTCTCTCTCTCTCTCTCTCTCTCTCTCTCATATCCATGGAAAAAAAACGAGGCACGAGCAACGTCCACATCCATGCGACTGCGGTCGACGATAGCGGATTCACAATGATGTGACGGCTACAGCCGACCAATGATCTCCGGCGGTCGCACGTGTCTACCGTTCTCGTATAGCCTTCGCTATTTCCAGCAGCGCCTGGCACATAAGCCTGCTAACTTCAGTGGAGGCAGAACAATGTTGTTTCTGGATCTCCACCTCCGCTTCGATAGCTTCGCACTGCCGAATCTGGATGGAGCATTGCCTCTTGCTCGTGCTCTCCATCGTCTCGCACTGCCTCGTGCTGGCGCTCTCCATCATCGACGCCATCAACGCCCCACGCTTGTCCATGCACTCCGACAACGCCTCGAATGTCTGCTGCCGCACATTCTTCCTCTTCCCGAACCCGGCCGGGCCACCACTCGTCTGTGAGCCACCCCGTGCTGAGCTCTCGTCTTCGTCGTTTCCATCACCGGCGGCTTCACCATCCCCCACAGATTCCGGAGTCGCTGACTGTGCAGATGGGAGTTGCACACCCCCTGCCCCGCCAGTGTCTGCAACATTGGTCGGGCTGATAGTGTGGCTCCTCTTCCTCGCCCCTTTGATCTCCTCGAAGACGGTTCGATCCATGTTGAAGTCGAATCCTTTCTCTGCCCTCCGCTGACTCGTCAGCTGGAAGAAGTCCTTCTTCCTCGACATGCCCATGAAAGCGTGGACCTTCTTGAAGTGCTGCATGAGATTGTCCCATTTTTTCCCGCATTTGTCTGCCGGCCTGTCGACACCGACCTTCAGCAACCTCTCCCGGACGTCCATCCATTTCCACTCCCTCGTCCGCATCCGAGCAAAGTTGTGTCCCGACGCTTGCAGCTGGGCATCTTGATCCCGCTTCACCCTGATTAGGGCCACCATGTGTTCCACGGACCAGAAATTCCGCCCTCCTTCCCCATCACCCTCGCCTTCCGCGTTTGCAGAGGCCGTCGTCGATCTCGTCCGCCTGCGCACCGCTCTAGTCTAAGTGCTGCCCCTGCCGCCCCTCCCGCCCATGTTCGGCGCACGCAACGGGAACACGTCGCCGTTGTCGTCGTCGTCTACGTCGCACTGAACTTCGTCAGCGTTTGCCCACGCGTCACCCCCCCCGGCGGCCACGTGTGCTTGCCCACTCCGCTCGCCCACGCGTAAACGCTCCACACCTTTCGTTATGGACTCTTCTTGCTGCCGCCGCAACTCCTGCCTCGCATCCTTCCACACCCGCCTACCATCTCCATACGCGCCCTCGGAAGGGAAATCTTCGTGAGTCACAGCCCGATCAACGGGACGACGAACGCCGTCGCGCCCCCTGGACAAAGGAGGACTGAGGGTCATCCACTCAGGACGTTGCCCGACAGTGCGTGGAACTGACGGGCCAGAAGTCGCCTGCGTTCGAGGCCATGTCGTCGTCTTCCCCGACGTCACCTCTGCCGCCGCTACACCCCTTGTGCCCGTGCCGCCGAATGTTACCTGCCCCGCGTCGTCGTCGGGATGAAGGTTCACGAGCACAGTGCGCGTGACAGAAGACGGGCTCCCGCTCCGGAGGCCAAATGTGAGATTAACAGGGGGGAGGCAATCCTCCTCCTCCGCGCCGTCGTGAAGGAGGGAAGTGAACGACTGCCCGTACTTCGTCCTGCGGCGATCATACAACTGGCTACCCGTCCACTCCTGGGTAGACCCGCTACCCAGCGGAACTGTCGTCGACACGTCCACCTCCGCCTCCCCCTCGTCTGAATCGGGCAGCGGTTGCAAGTGAGGCGGCAGTCCTTCGTACGGTGACGGACCTGCCCCCCTTCTGTCTGCACCGGTGTCGGGCGGCTGCCTACCAGCCGATGGGTTTTTTCTTTGAAATGAAAAACATTTTTTCCTACTTTACCGTTTTTTGCGTGGGTTTGCCGTATGTATGCATGTTGGTATGATGTTTGTGGATGTCCTCGGGCTTCCTGGCCATGATACTAACCTTACGATCGGCCGGAATGAGGGTTCGAATCGCGGTCGCTAGCGGGCACGCGTGGATCCGAGAAGATCGGGATCTCGATGTCAAAGGCTGTTTGTGCGAAGGCGGACGATGCGCGACGAAGTGGGCCTTGGTCGGGACGAAAGCAGAAAATCAAATGGAGAATCAAGCCTGCTGTTACGAATCACTGCCGGACTACCCTGGGTGCGCATGGCAGGATTTGGTCCCTACAGAGCTGGGCGGCAGTACCGGAAGGTCGGGTAAGATGCGACGGCGTCTTGTCACATCATACGGCCAAACGATTCCGATACGACGATCACTTAAGTTTGAATGCGGGGGTGATCCGGTCTCAGGAAATGCAGGGCGGCCTGCAATTGTTCGGAAACCAGCAGAGATGAGCAACGGGTACCCAGACCCACACCCACCCACACCCACCCCACCCACGAGGCATTGGGTCAGGTGTGGGTCTTGATAAGCCGGCATGGGTAGGATGAGGGTGGGTCAAGGCGAGCAAGCCTGGATGGGTGACGGGCGGGTCAATGTTAGGCCAAGTTCACCCGAATGGGTGGGTGATAAGTGGGTGAACGCTAGGCCTGGGTCACCCAACCCACAGACCCAGGACAACCCATAAGAACCCTCCCCCTCCTCCCCATCCCC